TTTTTAAAGACAGGGTTTCACCATGTTGGTCAGGCTGGTCTTGAACTCCCGACCTCAGGTGATCCGCCCGCCTTGGCCTCCAAAGTGCTTGGATTACATGCATGAGCCACCATGCCTGGCTGGACTCTGTTTTAAGCAGTTGCATTGACTCTTAGATTATAAATTTCTTGAGGGCATGAAACTCTGACTCTGCCTCTTTCTTCCTCTCGTCTTTTGTTCCTCTCATCCATATCAGCAGAGCTGAATTCCACCAGCAGGGTCCAGTGCATGCCACCTCCTCCTGCAGGGCATTTCTCGGCCTCTCCCTTCTGCCTCCCTTCCTCTGTTGAACTCCCAAAACCTCTTCCCTGCATGCCTGATCCTGTATGTTTCCTGGGTATCTTTGTTTTGCAGTGAGTGTTCCATGAGCATATCTTAGTTCCACTGCCTCCTTGCAAACCTTTGAGGGGAGAATTTTTGTTTCTCTTATGGCACTGAGTTTTAGCATCAGCCCTTAGAACTGGTTCTGGCTAGTTGATTAAAAACTACCCGAAATAAGATGAACCTCTGGGACAAGGTGGGAAGGAGACTCCAGTGTTTACTTTGTGTGCCTTTTCAGTTTGATATCATATTCAGAAGAGAAATTAAGGTATAAAAATACATATGGATTCCAGGGTTTCATCCCAGCTCTTCTAAACCAGAATCTCTGTAGGAGCAGGGGAGGTGGAATCTGTAAATCTGTACTCCCTGAAAACCTTCCACGTGATTTTGATGCCTAGCCAGGTTTAGGAAACACTGGCCCAAAGCATATAATAGGTATTCAGTAAGCTTCCGTTCAAAGGAGGAATGAACACTTGTCTTTTTTTTTCTAGACAGAGTCTCACTCTGTCACCCAGGCTGGAGTGCAGTGGCATGACCTTGGCTCACTGCAACCCCCGCCTCCTGGGTTCAAGCAATTCTTCTGCCTCAGCCTTCCAAGTAGTTGGGACTACAGGTGTGCACCACCATGCCTGGCTAATTAAATGCTTGTTTTTCTATAGCACTTAGCTGATGCCTTCTGCACACACACACACACACACACACACACACATATTTTTAGATAGAGTTTTGCTCTTGTTGCCCAGGCTGGGAGTGTGGAGTGCAGTGGCATGATCTTGGCTCACCACAACCTCTGCCTCCCAGGTTCAAGCCATTATCCTGCCTCAGCCTCCTGAATAGCTGGGATTACAGGCATGGGCCACCATGCCCAACTAATTTGTGTATTTTTTTTAATAGAGCCGGGGTTTCACCATGTTTGTCAGGCTGGTCTCGAACTCCCGACCTCAGGTGACCCGCCTGCCCCGGCCGCCCAAAGTGCTGGGATTATACAGGCATGAGCCACTGTGTCTGGCCAATAAATACTTATTAAGGGAATTAAAGAAAACTTTGAATTCAAATGCCATCATCACCTCCAGCACCCCATCCCATTTTCTTAGCTGGAAAGTGGAGTCATCTGTTCTTCCCCAGGCTCTCACTCTGCCTGGGTTGGATGGGCTACTTCTCACCTGGACCACTACAATGGCCCGTTGGTCTTCTGCCTGCAGCCTGAGTCCCTCTGAGCCTTTCAGCATACTGCAGGCTGTGTGATTTTTTTTAAAAAAAAAGCTCAAATCTCGTCACGACTCTCAATATTCCCTATTCCCTGCAATACAAAATTTAACTGTAGGGAGTCCTTTAGGACCCTTTATGATCTGGCCTGACCCTTCTTTCCCAGGCCATCTCATTCAACAGATACATGCTGAGGCCTGCCGTATGTGTGCCTAGCCCCACCATGGATGCTGGCGACTGGGCAGCACGCGCCACTCCTGCCACCACTCAGACTCCCTCTTCAGTCCCTGAGAACAGTACCCACTTTGATCATTTTTAATTTATTTTGTCTATAGTGTCCCTTCTGCTTAGAACATTTTTCCTATACCCCTGTTTTATTTATTTATGGAAGTAATCCAGGACCTGTATAAATGATTTTTCTTACTCTTCTGACATTTTATGCTTATCTCCAGTATATGGCCTGCCATCATGGATTCCAATGATTAGTTGACAGTTCTTTTTCTTCCCCTGGACTCTGAGCTCCTTGAGAACAGAGACTTGTCTTCCTCCTATTCCTATCTCCAGCGTTATCTCTAGCATTCAAGTACTGTGTCTGACCGTATCAACATATTTGCTGGATAAAGTTGTTAGGAAGATGAAGTTTGTGTGTCTCAAGAAGGCAAATCAAGGTGCTACTTATTAACTTTATTAACTATTAATTTTAAAGGTGTTCTGCCACACAAAGGTAGATATCGCCCTGGAAAATGTCATGCTTGGAGTTTGCAAAGTTATGACAATATTTTAATGACATATATAATGATACTTACTGTATATGTTGTTCTGTTAAGGATGACTAAGATACTATTCCATGTTTAGAGTTGGCCTCCTGCTAATCCTAGTTAAACAATCTGACAGAATAATCAGAATCCTGCAGAAGTGATTGGGGCTTTGTATATTATAAATCTGAGTCAGGACACCCTAGAGTGTTCATTAGCCTGATGTAAAATGCTGTATTCCCCAAATGGAAGCAGAGCCTAATCAGAGGTTCAGGATGTTGTGAAGCAGAATGTTTTGGAAGACGCAGTAGTTTTGAATTGGAAAGACAAAATAGATGATGTCAGCATAGACCTAAGCCACCTTTTTGAATCATATAACATGTGTTTTGTAAGATCTGAAGCTATCTAGTCAGGCTGATGAAGAACTAAAATAATGTGTGGGCTTCCGAGAAGCCAAACATGATAAAATATATGAGTCAGGGGAAATGAGATCCTACAGGGGCCCAGAGCAAAGAGGCCTCGAGGAAGGCAAAGGAAACATCAGCAAAGTATGCTATTGATCTGTGACCCAGTGAAGGACAGACTCCTTCACTCAGGGGGGACCCTTTCTCCCTTCAGAGGCACAGAGGAAGTCATAAGATTCCATTTCATTCCAGCTTTATTTGTAGAAACAATCCCCCATACTTCTAGAATCGATTCGTGGAAGATTAAAGTTAAAGACAGGGTAAACATGAGTAGAAGAAGTAACGCTAAATAAAGAAAATGACAATAGGCACACCAGAAACCCAGGCCAAGAATAGCTACAACAATGATAAAAGTTAGTTCTGAGCTTCTTTGTCTTGAGAATTAAAACAGAAACATGGTGAATATAGTGTTGTCATTATCTGAATTGAAGAATTTGTTAGTAGAAAGATCCTTTTTTCCTATGACTGGATACAATAAAAGAATTTATCAAATGGATCCTTGTATAAAGGACACTAAATAACATAATAGTCACAGCTTATAATAACAGCTTTACAAAAAAAAAAAAGAGGTAAAGAGAGGTTCTTTGTGTGGCCATCTGGTCCATCCAACTAAATAAATGCCATGAGCTAAATGATATACTTTAGTGCTAGGAAAATATTACCACTGAGAGTTAAAGAAGTATCATCAAACTGTAAGGCTTTCTGGAGACGTCACTTAACACAGAATAGCACAGAGGGACTAGATGAATAGCTGGTTAGTATGTTCTGTCGACCAGAGGGTTTTTTGTTTGTTTGTTTGTTTGTTTTTGCTTTTAACTGCATTGGGTGATCCATTAGTGGGTAGTGAAATTAGTTGCTGTAAGCGTTCTTTAAAATAAAAATACTAGAGCAGAACAGAATACATCACACCTAGTAAAGGTGAGTGTTAATTCTGTTTGTGTCTTAGGTCGCTGTGTACTGTGTATCTCTTACTGTGGGAAGTACGAAAGCTGCTGATTTTCACTGCCCTCACTAAAATATCAGTAAGCTCCAGCACCCCAGGCTCATAGTATAGGACGTATATAGAGAATATAGCAAATGCAGAGAAGAATGGAGATGTGATCCTCAGACTAGAACAAGAGCCACTGTCCCCTGAAGTTGTGCTAATTCAGGAAACTGTGACTAGATTCATTCTTGTCCATTCTTGTCAGAGGACTTAGAAATGCCCATTTCCTTAGAAATGCCCTTTTTTTCTCCTTTTTGTTTGCCTTCAGTACCTGACAGTTCTTTTTGAAAGCGCTAGTCTACTTTCTCTCTAATAAAGGGGAGATTACAAAAGGAACGTGATGAGTCCCCACAGGGCCAATAGCGCAGGTAGGCAGGATGCCCCTGGTGGTCAGACTTGGTCACACACCCTGCAACTGTAGAGAAACCCTTCTGTGCAGCAAATGAGGAAGAGCTCCTTCAGTTCTTATTTTTCTCTGAGTGAGCAATAGCTTTGCATATAGGTACCACTTAAGAAAATTCTCTTTTTTAAAAAAAAAATAGCCTGGGCAACATGGTGAAACCCCATCTCTACCAACAATACAATAATTAGCTGGGCATGGTAGCTCACACCTGTGGTCCCAGTTACTCAGGACGCTGAGGTGAGAGAATTGCTTGAGCCTGGGAGGCGGAGGTTGCAATAAGCAGAAGTTGCAATGAGCGGAGATCGTGCCACTACAGTCCAGCCAGGAAGACAGAGCGATACTTTTTCTCAAAAAAAAAAAAAAAAAATCATTTTCCTGCTTCATGGTTATGACTGGATCATCAGAGTTCTCTTTGAAAATAGGCTGGAAGCTTGTGGCAGGACCATGGCATTGCCCAGCTCTAGTAGTTCAAAGCAGCAGCCTTGAGTGATGATGAGACCCTTAATATTTCAGAAAAAAAAAAAAAGCCCTCCTCCCCTCCAAATTTGGACATGTATATGTAGCTCCAACTTTGGAGAAAAGGAGAAGGAGTTCTGGGAGGATTTCCAATGACAACAACTATTAGCAATGGTATGAGAAACAGGCTGGGGCAAGAAAAAGATTTAGCTCCTAATGTTGACTCTTGAGTCTCAGGAGCATCCACAGAATGAGATAAAAACCTGAATTTTCATACGCAAGAACAGTTTTTCACAGAAACGGAAAATAGTCTAGAAATAAAGAAGCCACCTGTGGAAGAGTCTCTCACCATTTCTCTTCTCTTGTTTCAGATGACAGTCATGTCCCTTTCCAGGGACCTCAAGGACGACTTTCACAGTGACACGGTGCTCTCCATCTTAAATGAGCAGCGCATTCGGGGCATTTTATGCGATGTCACTATCATTGTGGAAGATACCAAATTTAAAGCCCACAGCAATGTTCTGGCAGCTTCAAGCCTGTATTTTAAAAATATCTTTTGGAGCCATACAATCTGTATTTCCAGCCATGTCCTGGAGCTGGACGATCTCAAAGCTGAAGTGTTTACTGAAATACTTAATTATATCTACAGTTCCACGGTCGTTGTCAAAAGACAGGAAACAGTCACTGACCTTGCAGCTGCAGGAAAAAAGCTGGGAATATCATTCTTGGAAGACCTTACGGATCGCAACTTCTCCAGTTCCCCAGGTCCCTATGTATTCTGTATTACTGAAAAGGGAGTGGTCAAAGAAGAAAAAAATGAAAAAAGGCATGAAGAACCAGCCATCACTAATGGGCCAAGGATCACAAATGCATTTTCCATCATCGAAACAGAAAATAGTAATAACATGTTTTCCCCGCTGGACTTGAGGCCAAGTTTCAAAAAGGTCTCCGACTCCATGAGAACAGCTAGCCTTTGCCTGGAGAGGACGGACGTCTGCCACGAGGCAGAGCCTGTCCGCACACTTGCCGAGCACTCATACGCTGTTTCTTCCGTAGCCGAGGCTTACAGAAGTCAGCCTGTACGTGAACACGATGGCAGTTCACCTGGGAACACAGGGAAAGAAAATGGTGAAGCCCTTGCAGCGAAACCGAAAGCATGCCGAAAGCCGAAGACGTCCTCCATACCGCAGGATTCTGACTCAGCTACAGAAAATGTACCACCCCCTCCAGTATCCAACTTAGAGGTCAATCAAGAAAGAAGTCCACAGCCAGCTGCAGTTCTCGCTCGTTCGAAATCTCCAAACAACGAAGGAGATGTCCATTTTTCCAGGGAAGATGAAAATCAGTCTTCTGATGTTCCCGGGCCACCGGCAGCAGAGGTTCCACCTCTGGTGTACAATTGTAGCTGCTGCTCCAAAGCCTTCGACAGCAGCACTCTGCTCAGTGCCCACATGCAGCTTCACAAGCCAACCCAGGAGCCTTTAGTGTGCAAGTATTGCAACAAACAGTTCACCACCCTGAACAGGTTGGATCGGCATGAACAGATCTGCATGAGGTCAAGCCACATGCCCATTCCTGGAGGAAACCAACGCTTTCTAGAAAACTATCCTACCATTGGACAGAATGGAGGTTCATTCACAGGTCCAGAACCTTTATTATCTGAAAATAGGATTGGTGAATTTTCCAGTACTGGAGGTACTTTGCCAGACACAGACCACATGGTTAAATTTGTGAATGGGCAAATGCTCTATAGTTGCGTTGTGTGCAAACGTAGTTACGTGACCTTATCCAGCCTCCGAAGACATGCAAATGTTCACTCCTGGAGAAGAACATACCCTTGCCATTACTGCAACAAAGTATTTGCATTGGCTGAGTACAGGACAAGGCATGAAATCTGGCATACAGGAGAAAGACGGTATCAGTGCATTTTCTGTCTTGAAACTTTCATGACCTACTATATACTCAAAAATCATCAGAAGTCTTTCCATGCCATCGATCACAGACTTTCCATCAGTAAAAAAACAGCAAATGGAGGCTTGAAGCCTAGTGTCTATCCATATAAACTTTATAGGCTACTGCCTATGAAATGCAAGAGAGCCCCTTATAAGAGCTATCGAACTTCTTCCTATGAAAATGCACGAGAGAACAGTCAAATGAATGAGTCTGCAGCTGGTACCTATGTTGTTCAGAATCCACACAGCTCTGAATTACCTACGCTGAATTTCCAAGATAGTGTAAACACCCTGACCAACAGTCCAGCCATCCCATTGGAAACATCTGCATGTCAGGACATACCCACTTCAGCCAATGTTCAAAATGCAGAAGCCACCAAATGGGGAGAGGAGGCATTGAAAGTTGATCTTGACAATAACTTTTATTCAACTGAGGTGTCAGTTTCTTCCACTGAAAATGCTGTCAGTTCTGACCTCCGGGCAGGGGATGTACCTGTTTTATCTTTGAGTAATGGCAGTGAGAATGCCGCCTCTGTGATTAGCTACAGTGGCTCTGCACCCTCAGTCATTGTGCACAGCAGCCAGTTTTCATCGGTGATCATGCACAGCAATGCCATTGCTGCCATGACCAGCAGCAACCACAGAGCCTTTTCAGACCCAGCTGCCAGTCAGTCCTTGAAAGATGACAGTAAACCTGAGCCAGATAAAGTGGGTAGGTTTGCAAGCAGGTCCAAAAGCATTAAGGAGAAAAAGAAAACTACACCACATAACAGGGGAGAAATAATGGAGGAGTCAAAATACGTTGCTGATCCTGGAGGATCATTGAGCAAAACCACAAATACTGCTGAAGAAACCAGCAAAATTGAAACCTACATTGCGAAACCTGCCCTTCCGGGAACCTCCACAAATAGTAACGTTGCACCCCTCTGCCAAATAACAGTGAAAATTGGAAATGAAGCCATTGTGAAAAGGCACATTCTAGGATCTAAATTGTTTTATAAAAGAGGGAGAAGACCCAAGTATCAGATGCAGGAGGAGGCTTTGCCACAGGGGAATGACCCAGAACCCAGTGGAGACAGCCCGCTTGGACTTTGCCAATCCGAGTGCATGGAGATGAGTGAAGTGTTCGATGATGCAAGTGACCAGGATTCCACTGACAAACCGTGGCGCCCTTACTACAACTACAAACCCAAAAAGAAATCCAGACAGTTGAGAAAAATGAGGAAAGTCAGCTGGAAGAAGGAGCACGGGAACAGGAGCCCGAGCCATAAATCTAAGTACCCAGCAGAACTGGATTGCGCTGTGGGGAAGGCTCCTCAGGATAAAGCCTTTGAGGAGGAAGAAACGAAAGAGATGCCCAAGCTGCAGTGTGAACTCTGTGATGGAGACAAAGCAGCAGGGGCTGGACACCCAGGAAGGCCCCACCGACATCTTACTTCTCGGCCATATGCCTGCGAGCTTTGCGCCAAGCAGTTCCAGAGCCCTTCCACGCTCAAAATGCACATGAGGTGTCACACCGGGGAGAAGCCATACCAGTGCAAGACCTGCGGACGGTGCTTTTCAGTGCAAGGAAACTTACAGAAACACGAACGTATCCACCTGGGCTTAAAGGAGTTTGTCTGTCAGTATTGCAACAAGGCATTCACCTTGAATGAGACCCTCAAAATCCATGAAAGAATCCATACCGGAGAAAAGCGTTACCACTGTCAGTTCTGCTTTCAGAGTTTTTTGTATCTCTCCACAAAAAGGAATCATGAGCAGAGGCATATTCGGGAGCACAATGGGAAGGGCTATGCCTGCTTCCAGTGCCCCAAAATTTGCAAAACAGCTGCTGCCCTTGGAATGCACCAAAAGAAACACTTATTCAAAAGCCCAAGCCAGCAGGAGAAAACAGGTGATATGTGCCACGAATACTCAAATCCCTTGGAGAATCAACATTTCATAGATTCAGAAGACAATGACCAAAAGGATAACATACCAACCGGTGTGGAAAATGTTGTCCTTTGAATGGCAAGAGTTAGAAAAATCTTCAAAAATATAGTTGGTATTTTTTTTAGTTAGTTTTAAGTTTAGTTTAATTTTGTTCACATAACGGTCATGAAGGAGTGAAATGTGTAAAAAAAAAAAAACTCATTTGTGAAAATTCCAGAAAAAGGATCCTAATATCTACTTTGGGTTTTAGCATTAACTTTATGCAAAGTGCACAGAAACAAAATAGCTGAATCCTCCAAAATCCCAAGTATCTTGTGAAAGTTAATGAAGTTCTTAGCTGTGGTATTTCTACCAGTGAAAAGAGGAATTTAATTTTAGCCTAATTTAAAACTTTCTAATAATTGCTAATCGGAACTGGCTGCTGAACTGTCTTTAGTCACTGGAGAAAATAAAGGTCAGCTATCCTGAAGATGGCACCTTCGTAAACATGTTACGTGGTAATGAGCTGTGTGACGGTCTTTATTCCCATCTGGCTTCTGCACTATTAAAATTTGTTTAAATTAATGGATACATATGAAATACTTAACAATATAACTGAAATTATGTGCATAATGAGTAACCTAAAGTAGGACATTCATACATTATGTAGAACTACTTTTCTGCAACACAAACCTTGTAAAATACATATATAAATCACTATGACTTTTAACTGTCCATATCCCCTGTAGAGAATTATGATGAGCAATAGATCTGCAAATAATGAGGACTGATGTAAAAATCAGTAGAAAGCATTTTGAATATGATTTAAGAGCATGTGTATGCTTTTAGATGGAATGCTGTTCCCTTGAAGTTATGGCTGAGCTGTTCTTAGAACTGGTCTACTTAATTCACAGAAAACATAGGTCATGCCTTATCTATGGGGGAAAGCCCTCCCAGAATTTACCTGTGATTACCTGTGCTGCATGTTACTTTGCAATGGCCTCACCTCAGAGAATGAAAGAGGGTCAAATTCTTCCAAAACTCTCTGCAGTCTTCCAACCACAAGGCCATGGATGGTGGGGGTCTATTCCAGACAGACTTAGGGGTTCACGTGGAACCTGCCATCTCCCATTCCACTGAAGGACTAAGAGATTTAGTGTAAAGTACACTGCAGTAGTGAATTCCCGGGCACTTGAAAGTGACTGCCTAATCCCTACAATTACTAGCCTTCTTGGAGATTATGCAGCCCACAAGTACCGACTAGTGTAAAGCAAAAGGACAACAGAACCCCATCCTCCACCCCCCTCATTAATGACTTGAGTGGGCAGGAAGAAGGGATGACCTTCATTACCTAAAACAGTAGCTGTGTTTTTAGGGGATGGGGAGGTAGGATGTGGAGTGACATGGTTCTGTTCCTTAATTATGTGACTCAAATATATCCACAAAGCCAGTTGCTCTGTCTTCATATTTGCAGACATCTAGACCCCTTGCTAAAAACCCACTGAAGTTTTTTTTAATGTTCTTTTACACTGACCCACACCATCAACATTACCCTCAAATCTAGTTGCCCTACAGCATATTCTGTCATGTGGACTAGGTTCCTGGAAAGATGGAACTCATGATTCTTACTACTTTAAACTGCCAGAATAGGAGGGAGAGAGAAAACACTTCTACCCTTTGATCACTGGTGTGAGCAGAATCCGGATTGCAGTTTCAGCATGACCTGCAGTCATTCATGTTCATTGGATTTGACAGATGGAAACCCAAGGTTATCGAAGGTTGGAAGGTTATCATTGTGAAGAAGTAGTTCAAAGGACTCCATTTTCTCTCTACAAGTGTGATGTCTCCATGAAGAAGACTTAGTGTGGATTTGGGTGGGTAAGAAAGCATTTAAACATCCAGGAAAGGACATGATTAAAGTTGACCTTTTAATACTGTAGTACCTTGCTGTTAAGTAACCCCACTATTGTATCTGCATTTATCTTTTGTTCATCTACTTTCACTTACATACAGTATTATATAAGTAGAGAAAAATGGGAAAATGCAAGCAAATTCAACTTTATTTTATACATTGTATATATGTATACCCTACACTATTCATTTGGGTTTTGTTAAAGAGATAGTCACAAAGGGCTTATGAAAATCATTTTCGAATTGATAATTAGAATATTGAATAAGAAATCCTGTGATCCACTAATTTTTTTCAGTAATAAGAATGAAAGAGAATTACTGTGTAATCTAGTCATGCTGATTTGAGTTAACCCCAAATATAAAATTACCTGTAGTGATGTCTCCTGGTCCTTACATGTGGATATTTTTTAAGTGGACTTGTATGCTGATAATTCTAGACCAAAGTAAATATGGCAGAATATTTATACATGAAAAAATAATTTTGCAAATATTTTCTATAATTGTATTCATTTAAAATGTTGATAGCTTGTGTTAGTTTCAGGGAGGGGTGTATATTTTGATAAAAAAATACTTGACTTTGTAATTCTGTATATTCTATACAATTTATAGCAGAGCCATTTTAAGACAGCCTTGTCACATTTTTTTGTTAATTGTGAAAATTTTATTGAGTGATGTTTATGCATTGAGTACATGACCAACTAGAATTAAAGTAAGTGTAAACAGTGAACATACTGTATGCTGTACAAGATATAATGTAACTTGCTGTTTTAGCATCTGTATTTTGGTTAGAAGATATTATTAAATGCAGATGTTAAGGATTGGAAAAGTCTAATTTTATTTTTAGAAATAATGGATATAAATTTGTTTTTGCTTGATTAAAATAGCTTATTCCTACATTAAGTCTCTTTTTAAATGTTTTAATGTTTTCTTTTGTGCAGCTATTTCATCTGTGTGTCACAGCTTTGTTTCCACATATTCAGCATATTTGTTTCCTTGTTTACATTCTGTGGTACCTACTTACATGCTTAGGAGTCCAGTGGATTATGACATTAGGAAAAAAAGAATAAAAGAGATTGAAGTCTTCGGATGATTGAGTGTTTTGGATAGGGCTGATCTTATCGTGATAAATCAGAGAATGAAATGCTCTCCCAGAAGCATTCTACTCCACTCATTCACAGGAAACAAATGACTTTGAGTACCAGGCACTGGGCAACGTCTTTACATAGGTATTTCATTAACACACAACAGAATTCGACCTCATTATCCTCATTTTATAGTGACTTTGAGAAGGTCTCACAACCAGCCAGAGCCAGGATTCAAACCCAGGTGTGCCTGACTCCAAAGCCCGTGTTTCTGTTCCTTCTCAACACTGTGGAGAAAGATGATTAATAGAAACTGAACAGAGTATGAAGAAAGAGGAGCCATGATAAAGTAATGCAGCTTTAGGATGGCAGCTTTTAAGGATATGGAGTAAAACTGTAATGGTATTATAAGCTAGCAATTTTCACATTTAAAAAAATCTATTCCGTCGTCACAGACTCTACGCCTAAACTTAGCTAACCATCTTGCAAATGCCTGCAGTTTGTCCCAGTGGGCAATGTAAAAGGGGCTGTCAGTGGCTCAGGCAGCATAGTCCATCACCGACACAGAAGATTACTGCCAGGCCTACCAGTGGCTGGCCAATAGCATCAATTTTGTATTGGAAGGGCAATTCAAACCAGATTCACCAAAAATTTGATAACTGTTATCTGCTAAAACTAATTCCATTATCTAGAACAACAGATTTAATATAGAAAGAATTTGTAACAATTGAGAAAAAGCGTAAAACAAAAATGTTAGTACTTTTTTTTCCATTCGGGTATTTTCATTCTTACTGCTCTTCATCTTTCCTCATCGCCCACCGATTGATATGGTTCCACTCCCATCTGTGTCTATCAGTTTCTTTTTATAGAAGCAACAGCTCTTCCACTTCAGTTTCCTCCGTATCTGAGAACTCATCACCGTCACCCTCCCCAAATCTTGACCAGCTATTGATTTCTCTTCTGGAGAGAGAAGCCTCCTTTGCTCCCTCCCTAGTTTGTACCTCGTAACTCAGTTCTTTAAGCAAGATGGTCAGTGAGCAAGCAAGTTGGCGTGGTGTGCAGTTTAGAATATTCACTCTAAATTTAGACAAATGAAAGAACTAGTTGGAAATGCTATATTTTTATTTCATTAGTAACATCTGAAAACATCCATTTTATTTAGAATGTTTTTCTCCAAAATCACTTTTTTCACAATAATTTTAAAATGTATGACTTATATGTGATTATAGGCAAAAGTATTTTATTCCAATTAGAGAAACTGGTAAACACATTTTGAAGAGGTATTAATGCAGCCGGACGTGGTGGCTCATGCCTGTAATCCCAGCACTTGAAGAGGCCGAGGCAGGAGTTTGAGAATGGGCTGGCCAACATGGTGAAACCCCATCTCTACTAAAAATACAAAAAATTAGCCGGGCGTGGCGGTGAGCGCCTGTAATGTCAGCTACTGGAGAGACAGGGAAATCACTTGAACCCGGGAAGCGGAGGTTGTAGTGAGCTGAGATCATGCCACTGCACTCCAGCCTGGGCAACAGAGCGAAACTCTGTCTCAAAAATAATAATAATGTTAACTTATGTAAAATTGTAATTTATTCAAAAGATACTTAATTTTTACTGCTGCACTAGGACTACAGAGATGTCAGGTAGCTTGTGCCTTTGAGAAACTTAAGTCTGGTGGAGATTGATGAGACAATAGATGATTATAAAACAAAACTGGGCTCTTAGAGGCCTAGAACCAAAGCAGAGAGAAGTGGTACTGAGCAGGGGCTGGGGGAGCTGGGCTTCGCCAAAGGGGTCAGGTCCAGAAAGGAGTGACTAAAACAAAGGAACCATGGGGTGGGGGGAATGTAGGTTGTTCTAAAAGCCTGGGGTTTGGGATGATGGACCTGGAGAGGCACATGGGACACATCATCAGGGTCTTGGCTTTGCCGCAGAGTTGGACCTCTATCCTGATAGCATAAGACAGTGGGCTAGCAAAGGAGGGTCTGGGTAATAGGAAGTAAGCTCAAGAGAGATGTAACACAACATCCAAGCAAGATGGGAAGTCTTTGAAGGACTTGAGAGTGGAAGGATCTGTTGTGCTTACAAGGATCACTCTTACTGCAGTGTGGTAAATAGACTGCAGGCTGGGGCAATGGTGGCGGCAGGGAGACCAGATAGGAGGCTGTGGCAGTATGGGCCAGAGGTGACAGTGGCTTGGAAGAGGGTGGGAGTAGTGGAGATGGTAAGAAATGGGTCACATTCTGGAGATATATTTTTAAATTTTGTAATATGGAAATTTTCAAACCTATGCAAACGTGGAATCGTTTGGTGAAGCCCAGGGCACCCATCATTCAACAGTCAACAATTCACAGCCAATGTTGTTCCATCAATAGCCTCGCCTACTTAATTTCCTTCTCCACTGTCTTATTTTGAAGCAGATTGTAGACATCATACCATTTTATCTGTAAATATGTCAGTACGTATCTCTACAAAGGTAAACATTTTAAATATAACCATACCGTTATAATTCCTTAAAAATTAATATTTCCTTAATATCAAGTTCCATTCATTAAAATTTCTGGTTGTCTTATAATGATGAGACATAAATTTTTTTTTTACAATTAGAATCCAACTAAAGTCCTATACTACAAATAGTTGATATATCTGTCTTCAATAGCTTTTTCTATTTTTTCCCCTTTGCAATTTCATTCCTAAGAAATTATGTGTTTACAGTCTAGGAAGAAACAAGACAGCTCCCCAGATTGAGTTATGTTCTTCCGTTAGGAGGTGCACTCTGTGTGGCTGAGATATTGGATGCATTTTGAAGACACATCTGATAGGATTTGCTCATGGTATAGGTACCAGGGGTTGAAAAAGAGAGTAATCAAAAATGACACCAAGGTTTGGGCCTGAGCAATTAGTAAGGATAGTGTTAGCAACAAACTGGATACCTGGGTTGGAAGTTCAGAAGAGGAGACAGACTTGAGGTATGGATTTGAAAGTTGTATTTCATTCATTCAAAATATACTTGAGGTGGGAGTACAAGAGTGAGCAAAACAGTCCCTGGAACCTGTGACATAGTGGGGAACACAAAAGGCTAAAAAGCTAACTAATTACAACCATAGTAAATGCTTTGAAGAGGAGCTGCATGGTGCTCTGAGGACATCTAATGGGGGAATGTAACCTAGTTGAGAGCTTCAAGGGAGGCTGTCTTTGAGGAAGGAAGTTTTGTGGTTTTTTTGTTTTTTTTGTTTTTTTTGTTTTTTCAGATCTAAACCTGAGGAAGTAACTTTTGAGCTGAGGTCTGAAAGATGAATAAGAGTTGAAAGGGGAGAGAGTTTCTAGGTTGAGGGACTGGCAGATATCAAGGGCTGCCTGCAGAGGGAACGCAGTTCTTTGGAGGCCAGTGGCGGCCGGAGTGCGAGAGAAATCGATTTAAAATCAGACTAGAGGACAGGAGCCATACTGCGCAGAGCCTTCAAGGTCATGCTAAGAATTTGGATCTTACACCAAGAGCACCAGAAAGCCACTGAATTATTTAAAGCAGGTAGGGACAAGAAGAGGTATGTTTAATCCGTTTTGTATTATAAAAAAGTCACCGTGGCTGAAATGGAAACAATGGCTTGGAAGACGGTAGTGGCAGAAGCAAAGCAGTGGGGAAGCTACTGCAGTTGTCCAGGCTGGAGATGATAGTGGCTTGGATTTGTTAAATGGAAAAACTTTAAACAAGTTAAATTTAACAGAGTTTAACTGAGCAAAGAACCATTTGTGAATTGGGCACCCCTAAGAACCAGAATAGGTTTTAAGAACTCCAGCCTACAACATAGTCAGGGAGCATTTAGAAGAAGAAAATGGAAGAAGTTAGGTACAGAGACAGCTTAATTGGCTACAGCTTGGTGTATTGCCTTATGTGAATCAGTCAGCTGCCTGAGATTGACTGAAGCTCAGCTGCTGAACTGAGACTCAGCTGTTAGTTTAGGCTTTTAGTTAGTTTACATACTAAGGTTGCAGTTCATTTCAGACTTGAGTATGAAGGCATCCTTAGGCGAGAGTTAGTTTAGTTTAACAGATGATGTGATGGCAGTGAAGATGGAGAGAAAGGGGAGGATTTGGGAGATACAAGAGAGAATCAGCAAGACTTGATGTTTGATGGTATATGGGAAGTGAGGGCTAGAGATAGATCAAGGATAGTCTTTGGGTTTTAGAATTGTTGAAGCTAGGAGTGCAAGGTATCCCCCATGAGGCTTGTACAGAGAAGAAAGAATCCAGAAAACACCAATACAAATGGCCCCTGACTTCTGAGGTTTCCACTAATAATTTTTTTGACTTCATGATGATGCAAAAGCAACACACGTTCAGTAGAAACCATATTTTGAGTGCCCATACGATCATTCCATTTTTCACTCCGTACAGCATTCAATAAATTTCATGAGCTATTCTACACTTTATCATAAAATAGGCATTGTGTTGGATGATTTTGCCCAACTGCAGGCTAAAGTAAGCATTTGATGCACATATAAGACTTAGACTAGGCTAAGCTATTTGGTAGATTAAGTAGATTAAATGCATTTTTATGCTGTTATATTTTTAACTTATAATGGGTTGATTGGAACATACTTCCATCATAAGTCAAGGAGCATCTGTATTTGCAAGATGAGTCAGATAATAGTCTATATAACAAAGCAAGGCAGAGAAGAGGCCAGAGAAGTGCAGACCTCAGTGTCTGCACAAATGGAGAATGACACAAATGGAGGGTTCAAAAACGAGCTGTCTCAATAACGTTAGAGTCTATGCTCTTCGAAGCTCTGCACAACTGCTATCTTCTTCCTCCCTTGCGCCAGTCCTGTTGTGGCATGATGGTCGTCTTCATTTTGAAGCTGTGGAAGCACAGGGGGGTTAAGGGGCTTGCCAGGCCAGACAGGACCAACTCTGAGCCTTTTGGTCTCCAGGACGTTTTCATCTCTACCCACTGATTCCATATTGTCGAAGGTATTTTTTGGAAGAACCTAGAACTGAAACAATTAAAAAATACTGTCCTGTCTTGAAAATGAGTGCTTATTAGCCTGACACTTGCAGAGTCTTAGTTCATTCCTTTTTTTATTCAACATATTCTCTATGGCAATTCTTACTTCCAGGCACTGTTCTAAGCTTCTAATGAAGATTAATTCATTTAATCCTCATATCACCCCATGAGGGAAACATGATTATCATTGCCATCAATGTTTAGTGTGGTTATCTTTTTGCTGCACACTGTCACGAAACAGTGGCTTAAAACAACCATTGATTATTATTTCACGTTTCTGTGGTTTGACTGGGATCAACTGGGCAGAGCTTGTCATGCAGTTGCAGTTAGATGGTGATGAGGCTGGGGTCATCTAAAGGCATGACCAGGCTGGCATTAAAGCAGCCACAGCCCAGCCCGGTTTCAAGGAGTGAAGGAGTAGACTATGGTCCTCAATGGGGGAGTGACAGACACTTAAAGGGAGGGAAGGAATTGATGGCAGTCATCTTCAGAGGTAAGCTACAAAGATGGGTAATTCCCAATGGGAAAACCAAGCACAGAGAAGTTAAATTACCTACCCAAGGCCATATGGCTGGTATGTGGATAAACAGAGTTAATCCCAGGCAGTTGAGTTCCAGAGCCTGCTAAGAGAGGTGAAAGGGACTGGAGCCCAGCGACCCAGCTCGGCCTCTGACAGCAGAGTCAGGTGGTGAAGAGCACAGCACTACTCATAACAGAACTGGGGAGTCCTGGAGTCACCGCTCAGGGATTCGGTAGAAAGGAAGAAATTCTAAAAGTACTAGGAAATCTCAAGGACTGTCTAAACAAGGCTGTTATTGTGTTGGGGGTGAAAATATGATCTCTGTGGTCCAAGGCAAGTGGAAGCCTTCATACTTTTGTTTCTCTTTCCAATCCGGAAAGAATGAAAATATAAGAGTGTCCTTTGTAGGGACATGGATGAATCTGGAAACCATCATTCTCAGCAAACTGACACAAGAAGAGAAAATCAAACACATGTTCTCACTCATAGGCAGGTGTTGAACAATGAGAACACATGGACATAGGGAGGGGAGCACCACACACTGAGGTGGGTTTGCGGGGGCTAGGGGAGGGAGAGCGGAGAGTGGGGAGGTTGAGGGAGAAATGCCAGATATAGGTGATGGAGGGATGGAGGCAGCAAACCACCTCGCCATGTATGTACCTATGCAACAATCCTGTGTGATCTGCACATGTACCCCAGAACCTAAAGTACAATTTAAAAAAAAAAGAGTTTGGGGGTGTGGGTGGGTGGGGTATGTGTGTGTTATTTTTCCTTATAAATAATTAAAATCTGGAACCTTTAGTCAGATACTCAAAGGGGTCATATATGTGAGAAATTAAGGCTTGGCCCAGGAAGTTCAAATCTGCAGTGTAGACCAGCTTCAGAAAGGATCTTCAAACTCCATCAGTGTCCTCTGCTAAACTCTGGGTCATTAACGACTTTATGCACATTTACTCCCTCTAATGGAAGGACAAGGAAATGACATGTCTCCTTCAAAAGGGTGAGTCATGCATGTCACAGGAGTAGTGAGTACTGCCAGAAAGAAGCTGACTCACCTCTGGTGTGGTTGGTTTCTCTCTGGAATTCTAGCAACCTGAGACAGTGGGTAGCTTAGGCCCTGTTCACGTCTAGCTTCTCAGAACTTCGTGGCCAGAAAGGCAGGTTCCATGTATTGATTTGGACGCACTTGACATCTGCGTGAGTGTGGTGAGTGGAAGAGCATCAGGCTGCCTCCCAGGTCTTTCCAAATCAGACTTCATCATTTTTGACATTACTCTTCCTAAAGACCAGAGGTAGAATTCAGGGCCACCATTTTCATCATCTTTCATCACGATGGGAATCAGCCTCCTCTGCTGCTGCTCCTGCTGAGCACAATGACATTCCAGCCACTGGGAACTGCTCAGGACTCAGTATCATTCTCAGACCAAGGCAAGAGGGCCCCGTGCTGGCCTTCCTCCAGAGGTACCCTGCCACACGGGGCAAGGAGTCTGCAGGGCCCACAACGATGTGCCCACCCAGAGTCCATGCCATCCCCAGAGACCACACTTAGGTACCCAGAACCTGAGAATTCCCTGCAGACTTTCAAGGCCTGCTCTGGCCACTTCCTTGCCAGTGCCACACCCCTGGGACAGCTAAAAGGCAGCTGTTTGCAGGGGTTGTGGACAGAGTTTGTGATGGAGTTTTGCTTCCACATGTGTGCCTGAGGCCCCTCGCAGCCTGGGAGGGAGCAGGGTGAGGAGAGGAGGGGGTGGGAGAAGATCTGACCCACCTCTTCCCCTGCTGTCTCATTCCAGCAGGAAATGCCAGAGACTTCTACATTCCAACGTGGTCTTCCAGGTTGCTGCGGAGGTATATTTGTCAAGGGAGGAGAGTCGAATATATTTAATTAAGAACTTGCTAGCCTGGTTGATAACTTTTAAATATTTAGACACATTATATATACGCCTCCATCTGTACACTTGCTTCCCGCCTTGCAAGTGTTGAGGGAGGCGGCTGTCATCACTCTCCAAAATGCCTGGCTTCTCATCACACTGTCTGTGTGTACAAGCTCCTGACCGTGCTGAAATGTTCATTCCCATCCCTGTCCCAGCCCCATCCACAGATGTGATCATTTCTCAATACCTAATTCAAAGGCCCCTTCAAAAGCCTCTTCCTTGTAGTGTTGTATGAGACAGCCCCTCAGACCTCTGCTTGCCTTGGCCTCTAGCCCCACCACAGCTCTCTGCGTTCAGTCATTTTCAGTTCTGCCTCTGCTGTCAGCCAGTGAGCTCCTCCAGGCTTTTTTTTTTTTGGAGACGCGCGCTTCCTCTGTCGCTCTGTCACCCAGGCGGTACTGCAGTGGCACAATCTCAGCTCACTGCAATCTCTGCCTCCAGGTAAGCAATTCTCCTGCCTCAGCCTCCTGAGTAGCTGGGACTTGCACCACCATGCCCAGCTAATTTTTTTGTATTTTTAGTAGAGATGGGATTTCACCATGTTGGCCCAGATGGTCTTGATCTCCTGACCTCGCGATCTGCCTGCCTTGGCCTCCCACAGTGCTGGGATTACAGGCATGAGCCATCGTGCCTGGCCCAGGCTTGCTTTTTTTAGCACTGTGTTCCCAGCATCAGCATGCTGCCGTCAAATGCAAGTCATCTACGAAGAGTGCCGATTCACCACCCCGGATGACCAGCTGCTTTGGTGTGCCTGGCACTGAAGACTCTCCCAAGATGCAAAAACATTCAGTGCTAAAACTGAGACAGTCCCAGGCAAACCAGGATGATGAGTCACCCTAACAGGGAAGACTCTTCAGAAAGGGAGGGAACATCAACAGTCATGGTAGAAGTAGAACTAACTGGCCAATCTCAGTTTCAAACAACTGGCTTTCCTGAGCAGTGAGGAAACATCTAGGCCACATAGAAATCTAGCCAGCTGCGCAAGTCTAGCCTGAGAAAATGGAGAGAAGAACCTTGGGAACCAATCTCCACATTCCTGCTACGCTCATTTCTCTGAAGAGCCTCCTGGGAAACCAAGCATACCATACAGCTTCCAGCTGCCCGCACAAGGCATTTGCCTCCCAGAATTTTTAACAGAGTCGGCCCTAAAAAACAGTGTTGTACAAGTTATTCCACTACATCTTGCCCGATGTGGAGGAAAGCTACGTGTTTTCCTGCTGAGTCCTTTTCTATGTTTATGGGTGAAGGCACCTGAGTTTCCTTTAGAGACAACCTGTCACCCTCATATTCATCAGCCCCACCTTCAGATCATATCTGAAATCGGGGTCAGGTGGCCAGTGGCTGGTGGGAGGAAAGCATGTAAGCTGGTTTCTAGCGCGTGTTTTTTGCATCTCAATACAAGAATGAGGAAACTAAGTCAGGACCTTCTCAATTGCCGGAGACAGAAACCCATTGTTCGTGATATGGGGAGGATATAGCTGGCTTTAAGCAAAGCTGAATTCAAGGGCTCTGGCAAAATGATATAATATCTCTCTGAACCCCTCACTCTCTGTCCCTTTTCTCTCTTACTTTCCTCTGCGTTAGTTTCAGTCTCAGACTGGTTCTCCCCAGTTGATAGACAAAGATATCCACGCTGAGTGGAATCAAGTTTTCCAAACCAGAGTGAAAACACACTATTTCCCCCCCATCCAAAAAAAAGCCTTCAAAGGAGCAGAAATATTTCGAATGATAACCTCCTCTCAAGAGCAGAGTCTGAATCCACCTCCGGGACATCTAACATCAGAGTTGACACTCAGAATCTCTGCTAATATAGAGAACGCATCTCCTTTCAGGACACATTTAAGAAAAGTTTATCAAAAGGACCGCAGAACACTCCGCATCCAGCTAAGGCTAACTGAGCCAGGCCCTGCACCACATCATACCTTCATCCTGATTCAGAAGAACCTGGAGAGAAGGTCTGGTCTTCACCATTTAATCAGTGCAGGAAGTGAAGGCCCAAGTCCAAGGACTCCACAGCTCTGAGTGATGACAATCCAAACAGGAATGACAGCTCCAGCTTACTGACTGGCAGGTCCTCAACCTCAGCTATCAACTTACTGGTGCTCAGACTACACCCTCCACGTTTCCCTTCTGCCCTCACTTTGTGTGGTTCCAGGAACGCCAGCGTTCACTTCTCCCTGCCTTTACCTGGCCACTCAATGGCTTTTCTGCATGAAAGCAAACATGTTAGAATAGGTGACCCGACCAGCACGGACATATATGAAGATCTGTCTACCCCACATCCCAGGAACTCTTATGATGAAAAGGAATGACTACCCTGTAATTGTAGTGGAAAGAGAGATCATGCATTTGTGTGTACTTATATGTTATGTACATATTTAAAAAGCTAAGTACACAGAAAAATGATTTTCAAATACTACTAAAGGATATACAAAGAAAAATTGGTCTCCCTCCCACTCTGCCCCCAGGTTTCTTCCTAAAAGTATGTACTGTTACCAGATCTTGGGTGTCCTTCCATAGATATCGCATGCATATCTAAGCGTGTGTGTGTGTGCACGCATTTAAACTTACATATTTTTTTGTGTGTGTTGTATATAAATGACAGCACACTACACATGCCACTCAATACCTTATTTCATTTACTTAACAATAGATAATGGAAAACCTATGCTGGGACATATGGATCTGCCTTACTTTTTTTTTTTTTTGAGACGGAGTCTCGCTCTGTCGCCTAGGCTGGAGTGCAATGGCGCAGTCTCAGCTCATGGCAACATCCGCCTCCCAGGTTCAAGCGATTCTCCTGCCTCAGCCTCCTGAGTAGCTGGGATTACAGGCCGCCCACCACCATGCCTAGCTAATTTTTGTATTTTTAGTAGAGTTGGGGTTTCACCATGTTGGCCAGGCTGGTCTCAAACTCCTGACCTTGTGACCCGCCCACCTCAGCCTCCCAAAGTGCTGGGATTACAGGTGTGAGCCACTGTGCCCAGTTGGATCTGTCTTATTCTTTTAGTGACTGCATAGTATTTCACTGTATGAATTTATTTAGGCTCCCTCAAATCATGGGACATTGTATGAATATTTAACCCATCTTCTAATGATTGACATTTAAGTTGTTTCAAATCTTTTGCTTTTGTGTTTACATTTTAGGCATATTTTTATAATAGAGATGTAAATAAAGAGAAAAAAGTTTTCTGCTTAACTCTTATTTATCGAGAAAATATGATGAACAGAGGCCATATAATATTCTGAGGGGTTTTGGTAGTTGGAATGAACAGAATTCAAATTCTGAGATCTCAAGTAAAACTTTACAGAATTCTTCTGCTGTGTATTAAATGCAAACTAAACAGAAGTTTGTGTCTTAGGGATCTTTAGTTGCTTAAGCAAAATTTGATGTTGGAAGGAAAAAGATAGAACCTAAGGGAGGACAGGGAAAAGCTGGAAACAGGAGGCAGAAAACTTCCCTCCCTCCACCTTTTGTCATCTCTGTGTCCCCCTGTGTCACCTTTCTTCATTTCTGTCTGTGCTAATCATCAGCCTTCTCTACCTCTCCCTGCCTGCAGATGGAAGATGCTAGCCACCCTACAGGAACCTTGCAGGCAAAGGAATCCACACCTCTCCATCCCCACCCCTACTAAAGAGACTGAGCCCTATAGTAGAAGATGGGCCCTATAGTAAAAAGAAGGTTGTCCCCACCCCCGAGGACAAACACAGTGAACAGAGACGGGAAGGTGGGCTGGGAACGGCTGTCACCTGCCACCACGTTGTCCCACGGGGATAACACCTTTGTGGACATGAGCTGCTTAGTCGGTTACTCTGCATGGGGGACCCTCAAGGCCATCACGATGGCTTCAACTTAGCTGTCCAGCTTCCTAGCCCAGAGTATTCCATTACAGATATGCCAGGACAGGTGAGAAAAAGTTCTGCCCAGGCCTTGTCCAACAACAGCATTTCACACTTACTTGTGGGTGAGATATGGTGTGCTGATATGAGGATTCATGTATTTGTAGAGGATGCTTCATGTATTTGTAAAGGATGCTTCAGTTCTTGTCCCCTACACACACATACAAAAGTGAACTTATTTTGAGAATGTTTTCACATCACCTTGTCAGATTATAAACGTGTTATTCTCAAGAAATTTCAGGATCTTGTTTGGGTGACATTTGTTTTTATTTTTGTTTTTGTTTTTGTTTTGAGACAGGGTCTCACTCTGTCACCTAGGCTGCAGTGCAGTGGCACAATCTCAGCTCACTGCAGCCTCGAACTCCCAGACTCAGGCAATCTTCCCACCCCAGCCTCCTTGAATAGCTGGGATTACAGGTGCATGCCACCAAACCCAGCTAATATGTTAAATTTTTTGTAGAGACGGCATCTCGCCACGTTGCTCAGGCTGGTCTTGAACTCCTGGGCTCAAGCGCTTCGCCCACCTCGTCCTACTAAAGTTGTGGGATGACAAGTGCGAACCACTGTGCCCAGCAACACTTGTTTTATTCCTTTTGAGAACAAATTTTTAAAGAAACATGTTTAGATCTGAAAATGAGTAACTTAAAGAAGCCATCCGTGTTTGAGAGGAAGCCCATGGAAGCAAGGGTAAGGATCTGTCTCAGCTCCTGACTGCGTAACGCCAGCCCCTCATGACAGTTTTAGCAGGAAAGCCCAGTCGCCCCTCTCCCTGAGCATTAGTCTTGGGCATCTCTCTGAAGAACCCTGCTGAACCGCAGGCTCTGGAGGGGATTCCTCCTCTCTGTGCGCATTGGAGAGGAAACTCCTGCCAGCAGAGGTCACTGCCGTACCGGCTGGGAGTCAGCGGCAGGACAGCCTCATCCCAATAAGGCCGTGCCGGCTCTCCCCTGCCCTCTCCTTAAACTGATGGCTCCTTAGCTCAGTGAAGGAGCTAAATGGCAGTGTTGCACTAATCAAGTGTGTGCGTGGCATCAGCAGTTTTTTTTCAGTAGTAGGCTTTGATATCCCAAACCTAAGGGTGTTTAACATTAATACTCAGAATAAGACACACATAGAACAGTGGTCTGCTTTAACCTTGGATTGTATTTTTTCATGTTTAGCCCAATCATAAACTTAATCTATCTGCTTCTTGCCTGGCTGACTGAGAGGAGACTCCCACCCCAGGACACAAGCCCATGCACATGCACACACACAGACACACACACACACACACCCCACAACATGGCCTGAGGTAATGTACAAAGACCCTCGTAGAGAAGGAACTGATACCATGATATGGCACCTCAAACATTTATCATTCCTTCTTGTGGGAACATTTCAAATCTTCTAGCTATTTTGAAATATACAGTGATTATTGTTAATGATCATCACCCTACT